CAAAGTGAAAGGGCTATTAAACTGTATCAATGTTTGTAACAAGAAACTGGTGACCTTTAACCCCTTCACAACCACAGCTATTTAGTACCTTAAGGACAAGAGGAACATTTACATTTTTTTTCACAATAAGGTCATTTCCATCTTGTGTGTTTTTTTACTTTGTGCTTTTTTTCATTTCCTATATAAATCTATAATTTTAAATTTAGAGCTGATTTTGAAAAAAACATAAATTTTACGCCTCGAGCCACTGCGCAATGTATAAGAAGATAGATTTATCAAATTGTCCGGATTTGGGAATCGCACAGTTACAGTCATAGTCAGCGCAGTTTACATTTTGATAGGTTAGCAATCTAAGTTTGATATCAGTCACCGAATTCCCATTTTCTAAACAAAAGTATATATTTTCCCAAGGTTTACCTGTGAGCCTGTGACATAATTAATGCAGACAGCGTTTTCCCAGTCGCTGATAACATGTCCGCACCTACAGACACAGCACGGAATTTCCTGAACTTGATTTATTATTTTGCAACAATTCAAAGGCCAACCTCAGTTAGAAAGGCAATAAGCACTAAGCGGTGGTCAGTACCAGTGGAGGCAGACGTAAGTGGTGTGCCGACATTACAAACAAAGGTTAGATCAAGGAAACCTGTTAGTATTGTTTTAGCCACAAACATGAAATTAATGTTTTGTTTTTTTATTTACAACACTTAACAGCTGTTTTTTGCTGATACGCATGGAAATTAGAAAGAAAGGCTTTGGTCCTTCACATGTTTCCTTGATACTATAAGTGTTTTATTTCTTTTTATTTAAATAGGGTAATTCCAGTGAAAATATTTGGAAACTGACATGAGATGATGCGGCAGACATTCTAATGAATTTCGTGAGTGGATCAACTAAACATCAAATTGTAAACTGAACGGAACATCAATTCAAATCATTTCGCACATTGTGAGATATTTCCTTAGACTGTTGTGTGCAATTTACTAACTTTAAATCAGCGAGTATTTTGCATAATCTCTCTTTTCTAGGTCCACAGCAGCAAAAAGACATATTGAAAAAAAGAACCAATCACAAGAGAGTAGGATGTTGATGGGGTGTAATGACCTAATCACTCCCTCTTTCAGAAAGCGACATCAAGCAGAAGCAAACATATAACAAGTAATAACAATAATAACTCCTAAATCCAACATCTGAAGGAGCTGGGGAAGATGAGGGAAGCGGGAACATAAACGTGTGCAATAAGCTCCCTCAGGAAAGAGCGTGCCTTGTGCCTGGGGTTCCAGTGTTTTGGCCCCCAGATCCACCAACTATCTGTCAACACGGAGGAGTGCTGCAATGCGCTTCTCATGGGAGATGCAAACATTGGTGTTTCTGATGAAACAGAAACATCTCTGAGCCCATTCACGAATATCGTGAGCCCATTCCCGAACGGTGCTGGCATCGTCAGGTACTTCCCCAAATTTGGGCTTTGCCTTAACCTCCAGAATCCAGACATTTCCCAATTTGTTTTACTTTGGCAATGTTTGGAGGAATTACAGGGATGCACTTTCAGCCTGCTAGTCAAAATGGCCAGTATCAGCTGTCCCCATCCCAAGTCCCACATGTACATTTAATTAACATCATATTATTATAGAAATCTTGCCCGACCTCCTACACGTTATTTACTATGTTTGTGGTGATTTTTTTATTTTATTATAGAAAGTTTGTGTGCTTGATCTTTTTAACTGTTTATTAGTGTGTTTTGTATATCTATTAGAAATTAAACAGTCTGTTATTTTCCAAGGGGCCATTTGTTACTAAAAGTCCCCTCTCTTAAAATAATTACACTTTTTCACTTGAGTGAGTTCAAATGAAAGATATAACGGAGTGTGCATGTGCATTTTTTTATCTTGCCAACATCCCAAAAGACTTACAACATGTATCTATGTGTTAAACAAAAATATTGGCCTACCATTTACTCCAACAGCCAAAAAACTCATTTTAGCATGACCCTAGCAGATCAGTAATACTGCGAGCATTTGCTGGTATTTCTCGAAAGAATGTTTTTATTTGAATGCAGATGTCCTTTGGTTTACAGGAAGGATTTGGTGTAATTCTGATGCCAGTACAGCACTTCTCTGAAATTCCCTCCAACGTAGGAAGTATGCATGTCAAAGCTTAGTGTTTGTTAAATGGAAAAGATCATTTCTATTATAAACATTGTGACTTTGCGTAATTTACAAAATGTTCTATCTGAATTAAACAATAAACCCTTTGACCCTGTAGCTCATTTGCAGAACTCTGCCATTTTAAAGGAAGGGGTGTGACCTCTGGGTTATAGAGAATAGCAATAACAAATGGCTAGTTTAATCGGGGAGGAGAAATTAACTATTTATAGAGATCACTAGCACAGATTACTTGGTCAATATTTGTATTTTATAGAAAGAATTTATGTTGGAAGATAAATCAAAGGCCAACCTCAGTTAGAAAGGCAATAAGCACTAAGCGGTGGTCAGTACCAGTGGAGGCAGACGTAAGTGGTGTGCTGACATTACAAACAAAGGTTAGATCAAGGAAACCTGTTAGTATTGTTTTAGCCACAAATATGAAATTAATGTTTTGTTTTTTTATTTACAACACTTAACAGCTGTTTTTTGCTGATACGCATGGAAATTAGAAAGAAAGGCTTTGGTCCTTCACATGTTTCCTTGATACTATAAGTGTTTTATTTCTTTTTATTTAAATAGGGTAATTCCAGTGAAAATATTTGGAAACTGACATGAGATGATGCGGCAGACATTCTAATGAATTTCGTGAGTGGATCAACTAAACATCAAATTGTAAACTGAACGGAACATCAATTCAAATCATTTCGCACATTGTGAGATATTTCCTTAGACTGTTGTGTGCAATTTACTAACTTTAAATCAGCGAGTATTTTGCATAATCTCTCTTTTCTAGGTCCACAGCAGCAAAGAGACATATTGAAAAAAAGAACCAATCACAAGAGAGTAGGATGTCGATGGGGTGTAATGACCTAATCACTCCCTCTTTCAGAAAGCGACATCAAGCAGAAGCAAACATATAACAAGTAATAACAATAATAACTCCTAAATCCAACATCTGAAGGAGCTGGGGAAGATGAGGGAAGCGGGAACATAAACGTGTGCAATAAGCTCCCTCAGGAAAGAGCGTGCCTTGTGCCTGGGGTCCAATGTTCTGGCCCCCAGATCCACCAACTATCCGTCAACAAGGAGGAGTGCTGCAATGCGCTTCTCATGGGAGATGCAAACATTGGTGTTTCTGACGAAACAGAAACATCTCTGAGCCCATTCACGAATATCGTGAGCCCATTCCCGAACGGTGCTGGCATCGTCAGGTACTTTACCCTGAATTCCACACAAACAACCAAAACATCTTCAGGGATGGATGAAACTGAAAGAGAATGTGTGACGGTTTAGACACATAGTCATGGACGTGGAAATCCAAGTAACACACAGTTACAGTGTACATCATTCCATAGTAGTAATTTGTAAACTACAATCTGATCACTGAACAATCATATAAAACTCCAATGACAATTCTTTAACAATGGAAATAAAACCATCAATGTAAACACAACATTAAGAGCCCAACCTACCTTGGACCAATGAGACATATAAAGAAAATGAACAGAAAGAGTGGGATAGCAAAGCAGGGAGGGAAAATACTCGCCTCCTGTGATTACTAAAATTAAGATTATTAGTACACTAAAGCTAGTATAATACAGGAGACTTCATATTTTTCAATAGAAAACTAATGAAGAATTTGAATAGTGCGATGAGAGACACAGACCGTCGGGAAATAAGGAAAAAACATCCATGTCGAACGCCCGAACATCCGTTACATGACGGAAAGACACCAGACCAAGCATAAAAGTCCGTCAGTAGATGCCCAGTCCCGTAGAAAAACGGAGAACGATCTCCACATTCCATAAGTCGTAGGTGGATATCACTAGGTAGTTGGTATACAAGAGGATCCTTGCCCATTGGGAGTCCCCAGACCAAGACACGGGCCGTTGAACTCTGCAAACTCACCACATAATGGATTGTGGTTCCTTTTCCAATCACCAATGTAGCGGAACGCCAATAATAAATCCACGAATTCCGCTGGTTCAGGAAATAATCCACAGTCAAGCGCTGAAATAACAAGGCAATATCCCCAACCTCCCAGTAACCGGACGAGACACAGTTCTGAGAGTCAACTGAAATCCTTTAATTCGGCTGGACAATTTATACAAGTCCCCATGCAAGGGGTTTCCTGAGTCCCTTCCCAGGGGCACTCCCAGAGGGGACTACATGGGGGACTTACATGACAACATATTTCTCCCATCAGGCACTGCTGCACGAGAGGGATCCTCCTCCCAGAACACACCGTTAAGTGGATTATCCCCTCGTGCAGCAGAACCGACAATTTATACAAAAATCCATAACTGGGTTAATATACGGTGGATTTACACGAATGGACGTTCGGTAGATAGCTGGGGTCTGAGCGCATCATTCGTGAGATTACCGCTCAGATCCCAGCTAAAATAACCGAACGCCGCACGAAAAACACATTTCTTATAAAACATATAAAAAGGACCGATTGCTTTCAGGGAACAAAATCCTGAATGGCCCGAAACTCCCGAACGTCCTGGAAGCCCAGCGGTGTTCGTGCCGTCGAGTAGCCGTTTTTAGTACCATGCGCTCGACGACCTAACACCGCTGGGGAAACAAAGGATCCAAGATGGCCGACCGCCGCATGGTCGGTAGTCGAACGACGGCCACCCAGGAGAGCCTCTAATTACCGATTGCAACATTGTTGCAATCGGTTAACTAGCGCCACACACCTCTAAGTGTGTGGGCTATTAGGGGTATTGCGTTCGGTTCACGAACGGCCCTCCAAAGTGCCGTTCGTGAAACGAAAGAAAACCCCCATACAAACCGCCATTTGCATTCAGCGGAAAAGGCAATTACAGGCAATGCAAAGAATACATAAAGCATACACATATAGAGTAAAGCGCATATCTCCCCAGACCTATAGGCAACCCTTAAAGGCATAGTCTCTAGTTATAGTCCAAGTGGCTAGGTTTGCCACAACCAACCAAACTGGGAATGCCCAGATGGAGAGGTAGCATCGTCGCATCTCTGGGGCCCAAGAGTCTCCTAAGAGGTGCCTAGCAGCCTGCGATAGTGCGCCGATCTGCCAAGAACCCCAGAAAGAGTCCAGGTCCTTGGTTCTTTTTTCTATGTGTTTCTTTGCTACTGTGGAGGTAGTAAAAAGAGATTATGCAAAATATGAAGCCTCCTGTCATGTTGTAAAATTCTGTCCACGCGCAGGCGCATATTAATGTATAAAGATAATTTAGCTTAAATGCTTAAATAAAATAATAGGGGATAACACAGACACTCGCCCTCTTCATTACTCCTGATTTTCAATTTCATTGCTCTTGACAATGAAATTTCCTAGGAGGTAAAATTAATCCATGTAGTTTCAGTGGCTAAACTATCAGTATGGATTGTAACCAATGTACCTGTGCTAATAGTTGGATGCCACTACATGAAACCATTATTTACATAAATGATCTTATGTTAAAAATGTAAAGGTGTTTTAATGATATGGTCACTCATATCGTTTTAATTACAAATTGATGAAAAGCTGCAAAATCCGTTAAGGAGGGTCCAGTCTGCATTGGTCAATCCATGGACAATACATCGCCAGCCATTAACGTCTCAAAGCAATAAGCAGGGACTTTGCAGTAAAATCATCCAGGATATTACATTTTTATCTTTTATTTTTTTTGTTTTGTTGGAGTTTTTTTAGCATTTTTCTGGCTGTGCGAAAGCTGCATGTTATAAACACCCAGCTAAAGTGCTATAATAGTTTATAATGCAAAAGGGGGTCTTAGGTAATTGTGTGTCACATTTTGATCTTGTTGGGACCCACTCTGTTTAAATAAACAACGCTCCTTCTTCTGTAATGCTATATTCCATTAAGAGCTCTTTTAACCAAAACAACATGGACCGGGTCACATGCTTCAGGAAGGGAATATAAACACATGAATGTTGGTGTATATCAGTGTCAGAATTTGCCACTGGTGTTAGCGTGCTCATTGATGAACCACTCACCTCTTAACCCTTTGTGTGTCTAATGGGTGCCCACAGCCCAGAGGCCTGAAAATGGTTATCGGCCAACATCGATTGGCATTTAGAGAGTTAAATCAATGAATAAACATCTAATTTGCCAAGCCCCGAGGTTTGAATATAAGTAGCGTATTTGGGGGTCAATGCCCTCGGTGCCTCCTTCTGCCAAGAAAGTGATCAAACAGCACAGACTTTAACAGAATTAGTGTCTTTAATTCTCACTCTGAGGAATTTCCTTCATATATAAACTCTAGCTCCCCTTCTCCAAACGCCAAATTGTCAAGGTCTTAATGAGCTTGGAGGTCAGTCATCATTACATAAACCATTGTAACACACAGTTTAGTTTACTAGATAAGGACGCCCAGAATAGCCCACAATATAAGCTTTGCACCCATTCCCTCCCAATGCTCATTAAGGAGCAGAAACCCTGGGAATGACTCCTGGCTGCCTTAATTATGATTGATGAATCCCGGGTGGAATCCAGATTACTGCTGATGCGTTGCTGTATTTTATGGACTTGTACTTCACCAATTAGATCATCAACGTGTCCAGTTGTAATTCATTTTAGCATGTGTAGGCTGACATGCTGATAACGCTCAGTGATTATTGTTATCTAAATATGAGAATAATTGAACAGTTTCATGCCTGTCTCATTAACTTTTCTCTCTTTTTTGAAAGAAAAGTTTGAAAACTCTCCCTGCCAATGTTTTAATTAGCCAGGAACTGTAAAAGAGGGAAAATGTAACTTAATAAAACTGTCACTGATGTTTTAACTTCTTTAAATCTCCTGGGGCCCAATCAATGGAATCTAACGTAGTATGCAGGTTGGTATAATTAGAGTGATTCCAGTTTCCAAACTAAGCATTTCGCTATTGTTTCGGTGACAATAAAACAACCTGCCAGACTGACAGAGTAGCTGCTAGAAATTGTCTACTGAGTTAATTAAATGTTGTTTTGAAGGGGCACGTAATATATTACGGGGAGAAATTCTAAATGTACTGACTGGTCTCTTGGCTACCAGACAGAATGACATGGATTTATCAAAGACAAACAGTCAGAAATACTTTGTTACTATTCGGAAATTCGAGCCCTGACTTTATTCTATTACTATTGAAAATGTAGCGAATATTTATCTTTATTAATATATTCTCACGGTTTTCTTATTCTTGATATGTTTTTCCCTTCTCTTGTGGACGGCTGTCTCTCTGAAATGTAACATTCATTTAGCGTTTACCTTGAACTCACAATTTAGTAAAAAACCACTGATCGGAAATGAATAAATCTTACAGATTTATGGAATTCTTTTAAACTTTCGTTTATTCTAACAGCACGATAAAAGGGTTAAAACATTTCCAATACAAAACTAGATTTGAATAATAACTTCATTTTCTCTGTTTTGTTTTCACCATTACTTTATGTATGAGATATTGTGGAACTGGCACTTATTGCGTCCGACCTAACGTTTTCTTTTTGTGATACATCTTTCTGTTTTGCTAATTTTGAGAAAACGTCACTTGTAAACGTACTGCACGTTGCCGTACCGTAAATAATTTTCAGATGAAGCGTTTTAAAAAAAATGAGCCACATTGTGAAAAATCAAGGTGAAAAACATGGTCAATGCACCAATTGTAATGGCTGTTCAAACTATATAAGTGAAATGTCATTGGTACAGCAGTCGCAGGACATTTGCCCAAGCACCACAGGTAAAGTTCATCCGCTCAGTAGGACGGAGGTTAGTATATATTGTTACAAGTCTAGATGTCCATGCCAGGTTTGCTGGTAATCACTGAGGGAGGTTTCCCTGGAAGTAGGTGGGTCTTTTCATATTACATTCTGGGGTCTCACAGATCCCAACATGTATGCTGCTAACTTGACTTTTTTCTGCCCCTAACTGAGACAGGCTTCAATTTTGGTGAGATTTAACATTTTGCATTAAGCACTGAAACAACTCAATAGTACTTATTGCATCCTATTATTCTCTACAAGAAACATTAAACCTCTTTCATGGTACGCATGTTTAGTCTGCTTGTTATAATTAGCAAAAGTTATTTTATTAAGTAGCAACTTGTCAGTAAACCTTATCGACAACATTGGAAACAAGAACAACATCTCTTAATATGGACCTATTGAAATGTACCTAGATTCTGAAGTTTACTAAAACTAAACGCTTGACCAATTGGTGTTGATATCCTAAGGAACTCTCCATATTGATTTATATTTACCTGCTAGACAATATTTAAGCAAACTTTATGTACAATGCAACAAACACGCACACACACCAATGGCTAAAATCCAAGAATTCTATCACTGGAATAATGATTCAGACGACTGTTCTCCTTAATTCCGGATCTGGAAAATCTGCTTTAGACCATTGTGGAGGATTTGTAGATTCACAATTTTTTAAGAAAATAGCTAACATTTCTTTACAGTACACGAAAAGTGCTAACTTCATTACGTAACATTAATATCCTATGTGATAGAAATCAATGGATTAATCACAGATAGGGTCCAAAATAATGACATTAATCGATTAGCTCTTGCTGTACAGAAACCCTACAGCAGGGGGCAGCACTGATCCTCCATCCTTATAGCATTAAAACGTGGTGAAGGTCAGGAGACAAGCATAGTGGATCTGGTAACCCGATTATTGTCCCCTGTGAATTCAGGGGATGATACGCAATACCCTGTGATGTACGGCACGGAGAGAGTTAAGCCACAGGTGACAGAGCTCATTAAATTTAGAGTTTTAAAAGAAAATCTAGAGCAGATGGATATACCATCAATCAGCTAAACGTAGGAAGAAAGTATTTGCTGAAGCTATAAGCACTCTCCAGCGTAATAGCGTAATACAGACTTCTCCTGCAGAGGGAGATCTGTTTTCTCGCAGAGAGGTGATATCGAGAGTCTTCTCCAACTAGATAAGTTTTATAACAGCCCTGGAAACCTCAGACAGGGTTTTTTTTAAATACGAAATACAAAGAAACCCATTAGCATTTTTTTTCCGTAAAGAGTGTTTTTCACATTAAAAAAAAAAAATATGCTAATGGTTTTATAGACATGGAAAAAGAATGTAGTTTGTAGAAGGGATTTGTTTCTGACTACCTTGCGTTCTATTTAATATGTAGCACAAAGAGCACGCCAAGTAAAATTGTGAAACACCATCGTTCGTGCTTATTAATCTATCATGTGCTTATAGAATTCCTTTTGATATCAGATAATTGAAAAATAAATTCAAAGTGTATTAAATAGCCTTGCACTCATTTCACTCAGAATGGTCAAAAAATATAATTCGAAGTGATTCAGGCACGAGTTGATAGGCATGTCTCATTGCAGGGCTGCTTAATCAGATTGCCCTTTATCTTGTCTGTTCATCGTTCTGTAACTGGGTCCAAAATGTGTGGACGAAATTAATCGAAACCAAAGGCCACATGGGCGAATTTCTGGCCACCCAAATAATTATTTTTTTTTTTGCCAGAAAAATTGATTTGGCTGGAATTTTTTCACCATACACAAATCTATGTGTTAACATTATGACGTCGATTTAATATTGTTGGATAAGCTTTAAAAACAATTTAATATTTTTGGATAAACTTTTACAATGATTTTTTCAAAATACTAAAATATCAAAAATTCTTTCATATATACAAAATATATCAATATACAAATAATAAAAATATTTAAAAATGTAAATAATTTTCATAATATCAACTCTAAGACTCTAAAGTCCCGTAACTCAAATTGCTCTGACTACAGCTGCCCCTGTCTGTGGCAGAACTGAGCTGGATGCTTCCAGGAGAATTCTAGCAGCAAGCCCCTTGGCCCAGGAATACAAGTCATGCAATGACGATTGATCTTTAAATCCAAAGTCGTATGGGCAACAATCCAAACAAACCCAAATCTTTGCAAGGGAAAGGGGCAGGTTACTGCACCATCATATTAAGCAATAACTTGAGGACAGCAATATTCATACGATTCAGGTCATTACAACACAATTCTTTAAGAAGTACTTTTTAGAGCAAAAATACATGCATAGTGTATAAAAACACCAGAATAGTGACCCTTACCCAACCAATAAATCAGCCCAGGAGAGCA